ATACTTCAAAACCAAATATAGTTCAAAAGTAGTCCAAGAGCAACGGGAGAATTGTTCTTTTCCTTTAGATACTTTTAGAGTTTAGTTTGTTTCCTGTGTGGAAAGTGTTGTTTTGTTTTCCTGTGTGAAGCTGTTGTGCCGTGGTGTCAGGCTCCTCCTTTTACTATTACCACATCCCGCCCTCGCTTCTCCATTAACATATTAGGAGCCGTCCTTCCGCAGTTTTTGGACAACCAGTCCGTGTTGAGGTGGAGGGAAGTCACAACAGTGCAGCCGGCAAACTCACTCTGTGGCTCTTTGAAAAGTCAGCTCTGCGTTTCTAACCGGTTTGAAGAGATGACACCGTTCAGCTCGTGCCGGCTGCTCCTCTTCTCTCTCCTGGCTGGCCGCTGCTGCTGGACTTACTCAGCGGTAGTTTTCGTGGGAGATGAGTTTATTTTTCCTGACACGTGCGGGAGAAACGAGTCGGGGAAACTGGTGCGCAACATGGGACGGAACCCGGACCGACTCGTGGCTGTTTTTCAAGACGGTGTGTGGACACCGGCCGAGCAGTACCGAGACCGGATCAGAGAGAGCTCCTTAACGGTCCACTTTCCTCGCACTGTTTACACGGACAGCAGCAGAGCATATGAGCTGAGCTGCGGGAAGAAGCCACAGAAAACTGTTAGTCTGACAGTTTTAGAACCTAAAGAAGTGACAGGTTCTGTKGGTCGAAAGGTGACCCTCCCGTGTTTCTCTAACACCTTAGAGAAACCAGCTTCATGTGTCCTCTGGAAGAGAAACGGAACAGATGTGTGTGTGCAGAACTGTGGTTCTGATGGCTGCAGGGGGACAGATGACAGACTGTCTGTGTCCTCCAGCTGGTCCTCACATGGAGACCTGTCTTTGRCTATAARCGGRGTCAGACCTGAAGATCAGGGGGATTATTTCTGTGAATCAGGAAGTCCTGCTGGAGTCAGACTGAAGGTCACAGAGGATCATCAGGTGACTGCTGCTGCTGYTGATGTGAGTACACACCTCAGAGATCATCTGAGCTACTTAAGGTCGAATAATGGCAACTCCAGATTTTCATTTTCCTTCTACCCCTCTGTTTACAGATCTCCAGATTCTTAGTCTATAAACATTTTTAAAATGTGTGTTTTAATTTATAAGATTTATAGACAAGAGAGTATACCAATTTATTCATGATATTTAAATTAAATTTGAAATTTCATCCTTAACTCGTCAAAGTTCAGCAGTTCCCATGTCAGAGCAGAAGAGGTCAGTTTTCTGTCTGATACAGGGCAGCAACACTTTGGAAAGAATTTTCTCATTTAGCAAAACCCAGTTCTTCTGTGGAACACTTTAAAAGTTCTTTAAAACTGTACTTAAAGGGTTGTGATTGTGACTTTTATTATCTTTTATATTTTTTGTTGAAATTTTCATTTATATTTTTAGGTGGTATTTCAATTAAAAATGTTCATTATTTTTATTGTGCTTTTACATTTAATTATTTGTTTTATTTTTATAATAATTATTATTATTTTGATAATTTGTTAAGTGATTTAAATAATTGATTTAATGATTTTATTGTTGGTTCAATGCATTTTGTTTTCGGTGGATGTTTTATACACTCACCGGCCACTTTATTAGGTACACCACGCTAGTAACAGGTTGGACCCGCTTTTGCCTTCAGAACTGCCTCAATTCTTCGTGGCATAGATTCAACAAGGTGCTGGAAGCATTCCTCAGAGATTTTGGTCCATATTGACATGATGGC